TTCTGCTGTCACAGCTACTGTGAGGCAGGAAAGCTTACCATTTGAAAGCTGTGTGCATGCGTGCGCGTGCGTGCATGCCTCTCAGTGTTTGTAGCACATTGCCATGACATGATCAGTGTGTGGCTGGCCTCCCTCCTGCAGTGTCCATCATGTTTTATGGATGAGAGCTAAGCCTTCACCAGCTAATCCAAGAAGCATATTGGTCTACTGTAGCTTTGCTTTATTAGCCTGCAGCAAATCATCAAAGCATGTTAGTACCCACATATTTCTAAACTACAGTCTGTGCATACATTATTTGACTAGAAAAATACTTACGGTGCTGTATTAGTGGTGCATCCAAGTTGGTTGGACTTGCATGTCTTATTGGTACCTCTTTGTTTTGTCTGTTTCCTTCCATCTCCAGCTCAGTCAGAAACCTATAGTTTGTGTGGTGTTTTTATTCTCCTCTCAATATGGCATGAAATACAGACATTACACTTTGCTGCACAGCACTCTGTGCACACTAGGCGGGAATGACAGTGCTGTGCCCTGCAGGAAATACACAGTGATGTTGACAGCCTGAACATCTATCAAGCATCTAGTCTGCATTAGGCCGATCACGCTTCAATTAAAAATAAGAGAAAATGCATCAGAAGCTCATGATGTTCTGGGATTTTCCAGAAAGTTCCAAGCTGGCACCCAGACAGATCAGAGGAACACAAAGTAACGAGCAGTTCAGTGGACCCTTGAGAAGGGAATGAAAGGAAGGAAAAGTGGTGCTGAATAGGCATAGTGTTGTCTAAGCTCATGACTCTGCTCGTTACAGATAATTCCTTTGCAGACTCTTAAACTGAAAAGAGGAAATCAGTTGAAATTAATCAGTTGGGAAAAGCGTACAAAAAATACAATATCTGTCTGACTGTAAAAATGTATAAGTGCACTGAAGCGAAGCCTGTATTAAGATTTTGCCCTGCAATTCTCTTCAGTAAAAGATAAATGCTTGAATCCATAGCAGTGTGGACCTATAGTAATAAGTTGAGTTGAGTTGTATTGTGAAAAGAGAAAGGGACTGACTGGACAAAAAGCACAGCCTGAAATGTTGTGCTTGCACAGCAAACACATGCTACCATTGAAGGGGACAGGTGTGAGAGTGTGTGTGTTTGTGTGATGGGAAGCAGTGGTCAGGAATGGGACAGGTGGTTGTGGAGAAGGAGAAAAGTGTGTTTGTGTGTGGTTGCCAAACTCAAGATCCAGTTATCTCTCCAGCGACTCATCAGTTTCTACAGTGCTAAAAGCGCAAAGAGCAGTTAACTGTTCACACCAGCACATGTACAACACATCTGATAAGCACGTTTTTCTTAGCCAGTTCAAGGTCTTGTGATATTGTATTAAAGTATTTGGAATGAGGAATCCGTTTCTCTTTAAAATAGATTAAAGGCACCACTCAGGATGCATCCTAAGACATTACGTATTAGGGTAACTCTAGGCGCCATAGTTTTCTTTGTTGATGCAGATTTTGGTTTCTTTGCCCTTTCAAGTCTTGGCTTATTCTGCCCAAAGCGGCTGTCATGAGTTGCACATGGTGGATTGGCTGTCAGGCACACCAAATGCCTCTCTGTGAGACACCAACTGTGGCTGTCTGAGCTACGCTGATTATTCTGTCTGACGCTTGTTGGGTCAATCTGTCTCAGACATTATGGCTGTTGGTCATTTCTGACTGGAACTGCCTGATATAATTCATCATCAGTATCAAGGTCACCATATATTCTTATAAATAATTTTTTATTTATTTCTTAGTGTTTTTGCCATGAGAATATATGCTGGTTGGTTTTATATTGTTCTGCTGGTAGAACAGATATCGGAGTAGAACAGGCTTAGGAGTTTATTTACAAGAGCAAAGCAATCCACTCTGAATACAAGATCTTAATTGCATATCTGAAAAGGTAATAGTCTCATTAATTTTCTGTTGACAGGTTTGGAAATGGCCGGCTTTTTTGTTCAGGATACAGTCATAACACACCCTAATCCCTCTCCCTGCGTGCCCCATACACCAGTGTAAACAGAATGATAGACAGACAGGGCAGTTTGGGTCAGTGGTCTAATCACCACCGACAAGTCCCACCCACGCTTTTGAGCTAGTAACAGTGGCTGAACGTCAGTTTATATACATTTTTTTAATATAAAATACATTATTGAGTGTGAGTGAGTGACATAACGTAGTAATCTCCACCTCATGAGTGACCTGTAAAACTGGACCAACTATCATCAACACAGGGGTGGACGAAATCATAAAAACACTAAAAACACTACAATACAGTGATACACAACCTCATGTTTCAGGTCCTTCTTTGTCTGTCCATGCTACTATCTCCTTGAAACCAGATGTGAGCGATGCATTAGAAATCTACCACCCCATTCTCCACATCTTCCTCTGTAAACCAATAGGGGTTTCTGTCTCTGCATCAAATCAAACAGCCGACAGAGGTTTATACAACCACAGGAGTCAGTCGCCTCTGCTGCGAGCTCTGATAAGGAGGATATAGCTGAAGTTGTGTTTGCGACTGCACTGAATAAATTTCCCTTGACATGGAGAAACAATGACGCGTGTAGGTTCTTCAAACAACAAGCACATTGTGTACAAACACAGGTATATGGGAGGAAAGAGGAACTGAGTCATGGTGTGGAAGAAAACCTTGGAAGAGAGAATGCAGATTTGACATTTTGTTAAAACTGCAGGCTAGGAATTAGAAAACATTTTCAAATGTTTGCATGATGTGTATATACACACCTATGGTTATATTGGCCAAGGACCAATAATTATCAGGCTAGGGGCTGTCAGGCAGAAGCTGATTCATTCAGGGTTGGGTGTTAAATCTCAGACGAAGACAACAGCTCTGCATCTTTCTCCTGATTAGTGAGACAGATAATACATTGCTTGTTGAAGTTAATGACACATAAAGATTATCCTGTTAAGTACGTCCTCCTTCTGGCTTGGCATTAGCAATGGCAAGAGGCCGTGGTTTACCCTTTTTCTTTTTTATATCCCTGCAGCACTTGTGCTTCTACAATTCAGCAGATTACATGGCATGTAAGGTATACAATAATAATATAATTCTTTGGTTCATCAGTCAACTTAGCTTCTTGATTATTTTGAGAGCAGTTGAAAGAAGAACAGATGTAGCCTTATTTTTAACCAGTCAAAACCACCAAATGACATCAGAGTTTCTGTCCCCCTTTACCTCCACAATGAGGTAATGCAATATGTATAGGGCAGATGGTTACAGCAGGGAGTGGGGGTGGCTTTTCCAAACCCCCTTACTTATATAAGCCTCTTTGTCATGACATCAGCAGTAACCTGCATAGAATAGTGGAACCGCGGGGTCGATAAGTTCAGACTACTTTCTGCCGTCAGGTAGATATGAAATATTCACGTTAGCTGACCTTCATGTCCTTTCTGCTTAAAGAAACCAGCCTTTCTTTTCAACACAACTGTTATTTGGACTAAGTTTATACTGCTCTAAAGGTTAGACCTATACAAATGTTTTGGCAGGATGCTGAGTCATAGCCAGGGATGCACCAGTATATCGGCCGAACATCGGTATTGGCCAATATTCGCTTTGTTGACTGACATCGGCCTATTGGAAAATAAGATGGTATTCACTGAAATCAGTGACTGATATTTCTCTGCTGTGTCACATCAGTAATGCTCTAGCTAAATGTTGTGCTGGTTATTTCCAACTCAGATATTTGAGTATTCATCAAATCCATTTTCCAGCACTGGAACAAATTGCATGCAAACATCTATGTGCTCCATGCAGCAGCACAGACAGCGAGCGGCTGGTCTCACTTGGCAGAAGAGAAACGGACTGAGTGGCAATAAGGCATAGATGCTTATATTTGTAGATTTCTTTGTTTCCCGGCACAAAAAGGTGGATAAATAACAACCAAAATACATCGGTATTGGCATCAGCTATCGGTCAAATAATTTTTAACATTGGTTATCTCTGATATTTGCATCCCTAATAATTTATAGTGCATTATCATACCAAATGTCTAACCTGGCTGTTTTTTTTAAGCAAATTCATTTTGCATCTTGCAAGATCAGGCTATACAATTATGCCAAAACATGAATGTAAGTAATTTGTTGTTGCTAGTAACTTGTTTGTGCCCATGATTTGGTAATTTGACTTTGAATCAAAACATCAACATTAATTACATTCTGCCCATCCTTTACTCACCGTGTGTGTCTGTGTATGTGTGTACATGTACATATTGGTGCATGCGTCTGCATGAGTGCTGTAAATTGCAGCTCATGGTTTAATTTTTGGTTTTGATGATTGACATGTGAATGGAGGGGGCCCTGCGGCAAAACCCACACCAGTAATTTAACCCACATAAATACCACCGTCACTTGCATCATGTCTCTCTCTCTCTCTCTCTCTCACTCTCTCACACACACACACACACACACACACACACTCTAAATGACATCACCAATGCACATGAGAATATCACTCTTGTCCACTATAGGAGGTTGATGCTGTTTTGATAATCATAATTAAGACTTACCCTCACCCACACTGTTACAATGTTCAGAATTACACTTTAGGCATACCACTCACTATTACTATTACCAATCACAATTTCACTCTATCTCAATCAAACATCTTCAGCCTTTTACGCAGCCAAAGTCAAAGCCCGGGTGATCATCTTTCTAGTGTTATATTCTTACTGTAATGTCTAAGCTGTTTTAAATGGTGATCTGCACCGAAAATGTCTGCTCTCTTAGCCTCTGTACACATGTGAATTATTTAAACAATCAAATGTAAACTATAGCTTAAGTGTTTGAATCTTCCATTGACATGTTGACCAAGCACACTTCTAGTGACAAAATCGAGCACTCAAAGACTCTTTTTTTGTATAATTAAATCAAGTTATCTGGGTCATGTAAATTGTATCTATTCATTTTCATATCCAGACTTCTTTTTAAATACTATTGTGTCTTTTTCTTTGTGTAACAGGACATTCTCCAGCAGCTGGTGATGATGCCTTTGCCAAATGTGCTGGTTCTGGGCCGCAACCCTCTGTCTGGTAAGTGTCAATGTACTAAACAACACAACCGCAGCATTATACAATGCTTTGACAAATACTGTGCAGGTTTGAATTTGAGTGCCCTTGGCCTCTAAACAAAAGCAAAACAGAAATGATTCATAACTGTTCCAAGACATTCTTCTAGTTGAATCACAGGGGCAGAAAGCGTGCATACAGTTCAGAAGGAGGACACATGCAATTTTGCAATCCTTTTGTCACTTAATTAAAATTCAGACCTTTTTTTAATTATCCATTGCTTTGATGTTTCAAGAGACTTTCTTTTTGACTGTAGATTTCCAGCCACTTCTCTTCTTTTGTTTCTCCATGTGCTAAATAATGAGCTCTTTCTCTTGACTGTCATTTATAACCCACACCATTAAAAATTGGACATGATTGCAGAAATAAAGGGGACGTAACAGAAGAAACTAAAAAATGTTAGTGCCATGGTGAAGGGAAATGGACAGATTACCTGATTGCTTCAAGAACAAGCTTATAGCAGCATTTGGGCATATGGCTTCCCCAAATATGTCCTTTTATTACAATAGCCATATACAGACCAATATCTCCTGACAGCATGTTTTATGAATACTAGCATACCATTTTCAGAAAAGGTGATTTATAAGGAGGAGATAATCCTAATGGGTGACTTTAACATACATTTGGGAAGCAAAAAATGCAGTAAAAAGCCTAAGAAAAAAAAAAGACATTATAGATGAATTTCATTTGACTCAGAAAATTGAGAGACCAACTAGAATAACTTTAACCTCTCAGACACAAACAGACTAAACTAGAGCATTTAAAATGTATTTACTGGTGACCATAATGCAACTATTGCGCTATTATTGTACAAACAACATACTAGAAAAAGATTAAATAATCATATTTCATCTAAAGATTATTACAAAGTAATTCCTAAGAATGAGCAGCATAATTACACTTCTGCCATTAGTCGAATTGATTAATAGTGTCACTATGTCCTTTACTTAAGCAGTTTAAAGTAAACCACACCATAAAACTTCCCTGCCATGGCTTAATGAAGAAGACGAAGGCAGGCCAAATCTGTAGACTTCTATTACCTGAGGTGTTAAATTAATTTAACCATTTGGTAGCAGAGCTTTGACCTCTGATCCCAGCCGTGGTATTTGATATGTCTGAAGCAGCCTTTAAGCAACCGTAGTGCATTTCATTTTTCATTTCATGAAAACATTTTGGAGCAGCTTGACCTGGCAGCCCCAAGTGCTACTTGATATTCCAGTGTGACCTTGATGAAACCATTGACGAGAGGAGATAAATCATAGCAGGCCATCATTTAGGATCATGGCACACTGGCTGTGGAAATAAAAAAAGGTTTATGTAGGTAAAAGGAGATCTATGTGATTGAAAAAATGCCTCCCACCCCAGTGCAAAACCTTTTGCTAAAACCACTGCAAGGTCGTTGTTGTTGTTAGTTGTTTTTAATTTTGGAAAAGAGTGTCCATACAAATATTTTTAGCCTTTGTGTACATCCCTGCAAATGAAACAATCAGGAATTGTGTCCAGTCTCAGCTGCCAGAGCTTGTTGAAAGATATATTTACCTTTCTAAGCAGATGAAATGGCTTCCAAATCCCTGTCCTCCCTCAGCTGCCTTTATCACACTTTCTTTATTTTTGGGTTTTCATCACTTTTCAATGGTCACGGTTACTGTTTGATTTCCATACGCCCTCACAGCCATGAAGGGTAAATAAATGAACAATAAGGTTGCAGTGAGCACACATTTGTATGCGCTGTTGTGTTTGACTGCGTTTCTGTTACATGCAAGCATAACCTGGTTGTTAATTTACCTTTTAGGGAAAACAAAAAATCTGCCATGGCCCTGCCAAAGTCAAAACAAGTTTCCATTGTTTAAGACCAAAGCCAAACACTCAACAGGATCCATTAGTTTTTAGTTTATTGCTGTATAAAACATTACAGCTCTTTTGCAATTTGCATGTTGGCCACATTGCGATTTTGATAATATTTCGATTAATTGTGCAGGCCTACGATAAAGTGTTTTTTCAATGGGCTGTTCAAAATATTAGTTCAGCTACTACTGATAACGGCCATCTGCAGCATACGTCATAGCTCTTAAACAGCTTTCTTTTGGCTTTTTATTAGGTTTTTTCCCCGTGCTTTCTCCCATAATGAGCCAGTCTAGTCAATGTGAAGCCAAGAGGGATTCTTTCATGAACAGAACTCCCAAAATATCGTCTACTGTTTGAATGCATCCCAGCTAATTTCACAGCAGTACATCTCTGAAGATTTACTGTTATGTAAAGCGCCTTGAAGATCTACAGCAGACACAGCAGCCTTACACACGACTGAAGTGAATATTAAGTGAATACTTAAGTTGACCCAATGCAGATGAGTGGAGGTCAGCTCCGAGCCAGTGGACCAGAGCAGGCAGAAAGCATTAGACTGCATTCCTCAGGGTTTCTTTTGCCCTTTACCCTCTAGCTTGTCAGATAATCAGTCAGTCAGTCAGACCAGTGGTGGCTGTAGAGTCTGGCTCTCTGGCTCAGAGGCTGCCAGCTGAAAGTCATTGGCCATGTGGCTTTTATTATGCTCTCATTAGGGGGCTGGGGATGACTCTGTGTGTGTGTGTGTGTGTGTGTGAGTGCATGCACGTGTGTGCGTTTTAGTTGGTGGATGGGGGAGGAGTGTCTTCAAAACAGTGAACAGTGGGAATTCACTGTAGTAGCCCCCAAGGCTCTGGTTTACCTTAGTCTGCCTTTATATATGCACGCACAGGGATACACACACACACACACACACACACACTACCTCCTTTGTTTAGTCTGTCTGGAAGCCTGTGAATTTTCAGCAATGATCTGGTCTGATCTTTTTAAAAACTAAAGTTTCTATCAGTGTTACTGTGACCCCAAACCGATTGATGTATTTGCTGGTCTGTAGCTGCTTCACTAAAGTCTCTTGCAGACAGAATTAAATAACATAAATGCCTGCAACAGTGATTGACTACAAAAACATTAGATCCACTACTCCCACTGAAGGAGAGGTATGCACAGTTGACAGACTGCTGTATACAAATCTTTTGTAAATATGTTTTATGAATGAATTATGAACAAATGAATGAGATGAGTCAAAACATGGTTTTAGATGAAAGCCCTCCTCAGTGAGCAGAAATCATTTTAACTGTAGCAGCAACTGGAGGGCCACTGTTGGCAGCTGACACAAAGCATAAAATGAGGGGCTTGACAGTTGATCAGGCCTGCTATTTTTGTTCCGTGTGGAGGCGACTGTTTGGTGTGTTTATGCAGCCTGTTTTCACCAGTGTCCAGTGTCTGGATAAGAAAGAATAGAATAGACAGAAATGTTTGTGTTTATGTGCGTGTAAGACACATCCTGGATTGCGGATAAACAGGAAAACATGCTAATTTGAATTTATTTATAATGTTTCTGATTTTATGATCAGCTTTATCCAGTTCAGTGTTCTTTGTGTAAAGGCATACTTGGGGTTGCGTGACTGGTTACTCATGAGACTGACCTTGGCTCCAGGATCTCCGTCTGTGATGTCACTTGACACACTATCTTGCCTTATAAAGCACAAATGTCCTAAAATTATCTGAAAATAAGGTTCAGCCAACCCTGTCCTCCGCTCAGTGATATGGGTTGAATACACTCTGGCATGCCGTCAAAAGCAATATCATATTGCTTGTACCAGTATTACCACTGGCATGCAAGTCATCGGGTTCCTGAGTGACTGTATTCATCATGGCGGAGGAGAGGTTTGTAGCGATTGATTGCACATGCACGCAGACACATTTTTTTCTTCTTATTCGCTCACATCCTCACACACAGATTAACAATGGCACTGCAGGAAGAAGGGTTAGTCACTGTCCGTCTGACCCCTTGTTTCCTGCCGAGAGGATAAAGCAGGGAGGGAGGAAAGGAGGAGAAAAAGGAAGCCTAAATGAGTGACTGCAAACACTCGGGAGGCGCAGATGATTTATAACAATGTTGAAGGAAGGAAGGATGGGTGGATGTGTGCTGCAGAGAATAAATGGATAGATGTAGTAAGTGTGTGTGTGTGTGTGTGTGTGTGTGTGTGTAAGAAGGGAGGGATAGAGAAAAGATGCGGCTAGCAGAGACACGGGTAGTGCCTCCTTGCTGATGTTGCTGCTGCAGGGAGATTTCTCTTTTCTATTTTCAACCTTGCCTCTTTGCCTTCCTCCTGCTCTCTTTCTCTCTCTTGGTTTCCCTATTTCTATATCCCTTCCTTGTGTTTGTGTTGCTTGTGCTCCGTGGTGCTTTGTCTCTTTTCCTTTCATCTCTCCCTCTTAACGTTTCTCCCTCTTGTTCTCCCTCACTAGCTGTATAAATTATTTATACTGCGAGGTCCCTTATCTTTCCTACGTTGCTCCAGTAGATTTGCTGAGCTAAATCCCTTCCCTGACTAGAATACGTTCCTATGGCTCTAATAGGGTACCATTAAGCCCTGCAGCTGTGAGAATTAAGTTTTAGCTACCGTCATCCTTCCAGGCCCATATTCGCTCATATTCCCTTTATATGCTTAATATTTCCCCTTACATCGTGAATGCGGGTGCTGCTTACAAATTTCAACAATTTGTACCTTTGTACTGACTAAGCACAAAACAGTGACATCCGCTTGAATCAGGGCACACCATCACTTGCCACAACAAGTCCTTGGTTGACAAAATACTTGACATGCAAGAACCTAATGTCTTCATTTGGGGGAGAGTGGGTTTCAGATGCTGCTCAACAATCTGACAAGTACTTCTATTGGAGTATACTGACACCATTACCTGTACATTCAGACTTTTTGAACAGAACAAGATCAACATGTGATGTCTTACCCAGCAGCTGGAAAGTTTTCCTAAGACCTAGAAAAACAAAATTAACTGTCTTTCTTTGGCAGCAGTACAGAACAAATGTAATTATAGCTGAATTTCCATATCATGATAGAAACATCCAAACATTAGCCAGTCTTAATGGGTAGCTCAACAGTGAAATCACAAAGTGGAAAACAGCTGCCGCTAAGCTTCAGTTTTCCACCAGCTGTAAGGCAACCTTTTGTGACATCACTGACTGGGCCAGGGCCAAAAGCACGTCACGGTCAAAAGTTTGTCTATAGAGAGCAGCACAGCAGCAGGTTTGCTGGCTGATCCTGGTTTCTCAACTATTAATTGCCATGAGTGTAATATTGGTCTCACACTTAAGAGATGATTTAACCTCACACACATCATGACCACATGGAGGTCACTTTTGCTCAATAATGCATCGACTTGTGTGTCCCTATTGATTCAAGAAGAACCGGAGAAGGGAGATTGATTTGATTGTGTGGAGGATTCTGTAAAATTGATGGATAGGTCCTGTCAGTGGGGCCCACTCTGTTTTGGTAGACTGAGCTTTCCCAAAGGAACTGCCTGGTTGTCTGTTCGCTCTCTCAACTGGTGCTCTACTAAGACAATTGGACTCCTATCTCCAGCAGTCATTTTTTAAAAGATTTTTGGGGGGATTTAATTAACCAGAAATAGTTTTATTCATCTAATTTGATTTAATTTTAAATAATTTGGAAAGTAAAACCATAGATCATAATTGTCTTTCTGTATGTCTGCTGCTTAGCTCTTCCTGCTGTGATGATTGGCCCATTAAACTGAGAGGCAAACAGACCACCCTACACAGAAAACATGCTGTCACTAATCTGGATTTATTATTATTAGAGCCGGACAGTGTTAGCACTCACTACCCCCTGGGCCACATGATGATCTAGCTTATCAGACACACACACACACACACACTGCTCCAAATAGGGGAAACACACTCCTAGTATAGACAGACACATGCACGCAACTTGCATATACCATACCACTTAGTCAGTGCAACACACACATACACCACCTGGTTTACTGTTGTTCAGCCCCAAATCCCACAGATGAGCTCAGGCCTGTTGAGGGTGCCAGCAGCTGCTTGTGGGTTTCAGCAGTTTCTGACAATATGTCCTGACATGTGGAGGAGTACTGGAAGTTCATCCTGCCAGCTCACTACACTGCGGAAAACACTGTGGCACTATAACTACAGGAAGGAGTTTTATTAGGGGGGGAATTGTAATTAGTTAAGAATTTAATTTATCGGTATGTCAATACCAATTAAATGGGACATAGATGAAAGATTTTTCCTACCCCAAAATGAGGCAAATGTGGAAAAGTAGAACCGTGACCTACTAAATCTTGATTTGTTTTTTATAGGAAAATAAATTTAAACATGTGCCAGAGTAGGCATAGAGCTGCCAAGGAAACACTACCTGGATTAATTTTATAGCTGTATTTGAAAAATACAATGTTTTGCTACAAAGCACTTTGTAAAACCTAAATGGAAAGAGGGGATTTACAAATATAAACCTCATTATTAGTTACCACCCTCCATCATTCACCAGATATCTCATTTTGCGGTGAAGTGCTCAGGGCAAAGGTTTCCACAGCTGTCAGTTAAACATCTGTCAGTAGAACTTATTCGTCAACGTCTGTGTGTTTTTATGCCATTTTAAACCACAATAGCTGGTTGAACAGAATGTCGGACAAGACAGAAACAAAACAGAACTGGAATCGTTGTTTGGTTTTGACAGTCATTTTGTTTTGTGTCTTATGCAGACATACCATAAGTGTTTCGGCTGCAGTCATAATACTCTGTATCTTTGTTTTTCTTAGAGCAAGGTCTGGAGGAGATGAAAAAACTGTTGCTGCTGCTACTAGGCTGTGCTGTCCAGGTAAGAGCACAGTTTAGTCCACTTAAACATTTACACACCTCACATGTAAATCAAGTTTCAAAGAGCATGAACCAAGCAAGTTCATAACAGACGGCAATCAAACAAAATAGTTGCTGAAATGTTCGTTATCGTTGTGGAAGGTTCAGCCTGCCTTGATTACAGCCATTTTCTCCCTTTGATAAAGGGAATGAACTCTAACTCTATCATACAGCTAATGCTTTGTAATGAATGGTGTAGCAGACCTTTCCTGTCTTGTGACAAAGCCCCATTCAGCTCTTACTCATTGCTTTTCAGACAACCATTGACCTTTCACCGGCTCTATTGTTTTAGGATAGTACACCATAGTTGAATTCATGTGAGCAACTGCTTGGTAAGAATTAGCACACAGTGAAAGAGAGCTTACATCTACATGTACATTTTTGTTGTAATCTCATCTACAGCCAGCATGAGAGGAAAATGATCTTTGTCTGCTCCAGATAATAAAGTTTTTGAAGACTAGACTACTTTCCTAAACACAGCTACTGCTTCCTGAAAATCTGTACATCAGAGCAGTTCTGCCTGGTGTCTGTAGTGTTGGTCTACTAACCTCCAGTTGACCTCCAACCCATTTAACACTTTAAGTTCTCTAAAGTCTCTTTTCTTTTCTTCTACCTTCCTGCCACTTCTACAGTGCGAGAAGAAGGAAGAGTACATTGAGCGTATCCAGACTCTGGATTTTGACACCAAAGCTGCCATCGCATCCCACATCCAAGAGGTAATTCTCCTGCATAGTAGACAAAACTGGAAATAATTAAGATATTTAACCTCCTAGACTACCTTTGGAACGCATAATTTGAATGCACCTTTGAACAACATTTTACATCAGGCGACAAAATCTTGATGATATAATGTTTGTGATTTAAGGTGACTCATAATCCGGAGAATGTAGTGGACCTACAGTGGTTGGAAAGTGGGGAAATGCCTCCTGAGGACCTGGACAGCCTCTCCAGAAACCTGGCTTTCCACCTCAAACACCTGGTGGATGAGAGGGACACACAGCTGGAGGTAATGACATATATAGTTATTACGCTTTTATGAGGGTGTGTGTGTGAGTATAGACATATTGAGTCATGCTGGAAATTCCATAAATGCAACATAAGCAAAATGACAATAAACAAGCACAATAAACAGGGCAGAGCAAAGCACAACTAGGAAAGTGTTTCTCTTCTCTCTTTCTATGGGCTTGCGGGGAGGTTGTGTTTGTGGAAGTCTGTTACAGGTCTATGAACAGAATTGTGCCAATGAAAATGACGGGCTACTTCTAGTAAGGTTATGTGGAAACTTTTCCCTTTTTGGCTGTTACCACAAGAGAGCAGCCTCAGGAAGGAAGGGGTGAAACTGTTAACTGTCTCATGGATGTTGTGTGTGTGTGTGT